CACCTTTGGTTTGCCTTAATGTTCTGTCCATACCTTTTCTTCCTACTTTATTCTCCAGCCAGGCTATTCTAAGAAGCAGACCCTACCCTTCTCTGCCAATCTGGCAAACTCTTACATGTCCTGTAAAAGCCCCAACTCCAGTGCCCCTTCCTTTGGGCAGCCTTCCCCTCAATCCTCTTCCTCTAGCCCAGCCCTGAACCCCTCAGGGCTGGGAGTGCTGTGTCCTGCTCTGACATTGCCCAGCCTGGAGGACTCCCAGGCAGGATAAAGAAAATGTTTGCCATCTGCTCCCCGAGCCCCCGGCAACTCCAGCTCCCACCCCACAATGCCCCAAGCAACTCTCATGAGTCCAGAGATGTTCACTGCAGTACTATTTACAAGAGAGTAACAGAAGCAGAGCAACATGTTGGTGTCGGCCCCACAAGGGAACTCTGCAGGGAGCTGAAATGAAGCAGGTGACTCGGGACATTCAGATATGACAGACAGACACTGAGCGATGAGAATGTGAAACAAAACAAAACAAAACACAAAAAGCACTGTGTCCAGCTCAGCATTGAGCGGAACTATCCAGACCCCTGAAAGGTCACATTTCTGGGCATAAGTGCATAGAAATAGGCTTGGAAAAGCTGTGGCTGACGCCAGCCAGATTGGGGCAGCGGCTGGTGGCCCTGAGCTTCATGTAACTGTCCCATGTTCTCTCCACACGAGAATGGTGTCTAGTGTTACTTCTGGAACCAAAAATGGACTTTAAAACATATATAAGTGTATTTTTCCCAACTTAAAAAATCTAAATGAGCTGAAAAAAAACAGAAAAAACCCAAATGTGATCCCAGCCTCCTGAGGAGGACTCTTCTGAGGCCCACGGCTTCACCTCCCAGTTCCTGAACCTGTGGAGCAGGATACCCCCCAGGATGAAATGGGCCCCAGAAGGTCCAGGGAAGGGAGGGGGGACAGGCAGAGTTCATGGAGAGGGCGCAGTGGCCTCTGGGGGCTGCTGGGGGCTGTTTCTGCCCAGGTGCCCACTGTGTCCAGGCACTGGGTCCTGACGCCTCCATTTCAGATGAAGGAAACTGAGGCTCAATGAGGCCACCAGGCTTCCCCAAAACCCTGCAGCCAGCAGCCCCCTGCACCTCGCCCATCTGTCTGTCTGCCCACTCTCCCAAGACTGGGGTTGGGGCCGGTGTACCCTGGGGTCCAGTCCCAGCTCTGACACCTCCCCCATGACAAATGTCTTGACGGCTCCATGCCTCAGTTTCCCCATCTGCACAATGGGGCAATGGCAGTTCCTTCCCCATGGGATCAAGAGGGTACACAAGACATGTGTGAGGCACTCAATCTGCTGCCTGAACATAGCTAAGCGACAAATATACTAGCACTGTTACCTCCACATCTCTAAGCTCCTTTCACAGTGTGTGGCGCGTAGACGTTACCTTGGAAAACCGGGGAAAATATCCCAATATTTAATGTGAATCGAAACCACAGTGAGATGCCATGCAATCCCCCGGGTATAGCTGGAACCACAGTCATCGTCACCAGTATCGGTGAGGACAGAGAAATAAACCTCATGCATGGCAGGTGGGACACAAAATGGAGCACTCAGCAGCTCCTCCAATGTCAGGGTTACCATCAGACCCAGCAACTCCACTCCTAGGTCCACAGCTGAGAAAACTGAACACACACGTCCACACAGACACCTGCACACCATGTCCACAGCAGGACGATTCACAACAGTCAAAGGTGGGACCAGACCAAGTGTCCATCAGCGGGTGACAGACATAAACAATGTGGCCCATCAACAGGAGACGGACACACACAGTGTGGCCGGTCCACACACAGGAATGTTACTTGGCTGTGAAAAGGGGGTAGGCACTGACACTCGCCACATTGTGGATAGACCTTGATTGAACACACGGTGCTCAGTGAGAGAAGCCAGACCACAAGGCCACACTGTGTGTGATTCCACTTATGTGAAATGTCCAGAACAGGCACATCCACAGACAGGAGAGGGGTTAGTGGTTGTCAGAGGCTGGGGAGGGGATGGGGGTGACTGTTCATGGGGATGGGGCTTCTTTTGGGGATGATGGAAGGTTCTGAAACTAAATAGAGATGCTAGTTGCACAATACTGTGAATATGCTAGAAACCAGTGAGTTACATACTTTAAATGAGTGAATTATGTGTTATGTTAATTTTATATCAATAAAGCTGTTAGAAAATCCCAACATTTATTTGAGTTGTTGAGACTAAAGGTTCGAATCCTTAAGTGGCTGAAGACTTGTGATTATGAGTAAATTGGCTTACAATCCCACACGGCACTTTCTATAGCCCAGGCATGGCCATGTTGGTGACAGGAAGCCACTAGGATGTCGCCACGATGCCACATCCAATGCTAGGAGACTGAGAACCTAATTGCTGCCCGTGACACACCCCAATCCCCAACGGCTCCTGGAGGGCTGGCCTCCATCAGTGCATGTCAGGGGTCCCCTGGTGCAAGGTTCCAGGTTTTCCAGGAAAGATTCCGTGGCCACGAGCCCGCTGCTCCCAGCCTGCCCCCCAGACCTGCAGCCAACAGAGGAATTTCATGACTGTCGAGGCTTTTGGGGCGGAAGTCAGCCCCTGGTCCTGCCAAGACCAGGAGACAGAGGCATAGATGATGCCAAGTGGGCGGCTGGCCGGTTGGCCTGCCACGTGCCAGGAAGGGGTGGGGCAGCGCCAGAGTCAACACGGCCCTTGACACCTGCCCAGCTGGCTGAGACCAGGCCACTGTTGACACTAGCTGCACAGGTGCCTGACCAGCTGGATCTGCCACAAACAGTTAGGATAAGCTCCCAGCACCTCAAAGCAGGCACCCCCGCTGGCCCACGACCTCCCTCATCTTGAAATCCAGCCCAATGTTGTCTGGCCCCTATGCACGAGCCAAGCTAGGTCTCACCTCAGGACTTTTTGCACGGGCTGTTTCCTCCCTGTGTGTGCCCAGTGCTCCTTCTACAAGGCTCGACCCAAACGTCACATCCTGAGAGGCCTCCTCTCTTTCCCAGTAGAGACGCCGATCACATCCCCAACCGCCTTGTGTTACATCCATTTACTTGTTTACTGACCTTCATCCACCACAGGGATAAACCATAAGCATGTATGACACTGGGGCTCCCTCACCCTCTGGCCTCAATTTACCCCTGTGACCTGACCCTGGGTGTCCAGAGACTTCACCATCGTGTCCTGGACAAGTGGGATAATGGCTCCCAAGGTCTTTTGCTTCTGACATGCTGAGGGGGCTTTGGGGTCAAGACTTCTGACCCCTTGTCCCTGCCTAGCCTGGCCACCAACCACCCCACACTTCCGTCAGTGTTGGGTGGGGGTGGAGCAGGGGTCCTGTCATCTCTGACCCCAGAAGGGCTGCATATCCTCGTCTCTCCCTTCCTCTGAGCCCGGCTGTGACCCTGCAAGATAGGGGTGTCTGTCTGGATCTGGCCCCCAGCCTGGAGCTCCCTGAGGGCTGGGTTCAGGGCAGACAACAAATATCCAGTAAATAAATAAACATAACTTGCCCATAAGGTGCCCATCTGTGTTACATTGAGCCCAGAGAACACCGGGCTCAGAACCTGCAGACTGCCCCCAATACTGTGCCTCAGTTTCCTACCTGCAAAACGGGGTGGGCAGCTGCCCAGCAAGTGTTTCCTTCCAAAAGGGAGAGAAGCTGAGGCAGGGAGCAGGGTGGGACCATCAGTCCCGCCCGCAGGCTCAGGCTGGTATCCACACTCAAGGAGCAGCCCAGGCCACGAGTGGGGTGGGGCTGGCCTCACCCTCAGGAGGTGATGTCTGCTGGCTGTCATTCTACCAGAAGGTACCGCCATCCACGTGCCAGGACCACCATCCTGGTGCCATGATTGGGTGGGAGGTGAGGCCGCCCCACCCAGCCCCAGCTGCCTGGGCAGCTCCTAGGAGGGCAGATGGGCGGGCAGGGGAGATTAGCTCTCCCTCCCATCCTTGAAGCTAGCTGTGCCCGGTACCCCAAGGCACCGTCCCTCCCGCCTTCACAACTCCTGTGGTCCCTGTCATTCCCACTGCAGCCCCTGGCTTGTCCCCATGTGTCCAATTCCCAGTTCTTTACTTCATCTGTGAGTTTTTTGATGGCCTGAGCTCAAGTCCCAGCACTCAGTCCCAAGTGAGGCTGAGAGGGGAGCCCCAGGCACTGGGTCTCCAGAGACCAGCACCTGGCCAGTACATTACTCAGAAGGCCCTATAGCCCATTCTGGAGCCAGCATCCGCAGGTGGGCTGCCCTGAGACTGCTCCCGTGTGCTGGCATGTCCACAGTCCCCTGGAACACTGAGCTGGGGAGGCCAGGTCCTCTCTGGCCACTCCTGGAGGTCAGGGCAGGGCCCAGCTGGCCGCGAGTGGAATGCGAGCCCCACTGGCCACCCTGCCGCCATCTGGTTTCCATCTGCCCAGCCCTGCTCAGCCCAACTTCAAAGGATGCCCTGCCTGGCCACTTCCTCTGCTCTGACCGCCTACCCCGCGGGAAGGCACCAGGACAGTTTGCTTCCTCCCCGTCCTTCCAGAGCCCCAGGGAGCTGCTGGCCGGCACACCAATGCGGCCATCTCCTGCTCAGCCAGCTGCCTGGGCCTCAGGAGAGCAGACTCCACGCCGACAAGGTCGACAAGGCCTCCAAGCCCACATCACCAGGCCGCACCCACAACCACCGCTGCTGAGCCAGTCCAGTCACACAGCCTTGGCCTGGGCCATCCCTCCACTTGGAACCCCTTTCCTTGCTCTGTCGCTCTGTCCTAGCGCAGATACTAGGAGCCCCTGGACCTCTCCCTCCTGGCTCATGTCCCCCACATCCATTCATTTAACATCCAGCCCACCTCACCCACAGGACCCCAGTGCCCAACTCGGCACTTGCACACATGGGAGGCAAACACCAGCCACCAGGGCTAGCTAGGACTCCAGTAGGAGCTAGGTGTGCCCCTGCCTCCACGGCCCCGTTACTACGCACGACCCACCTGCTTGAACTGCTCCTCATATGTCCAGTCCCCGTGGTCAGGAGGCTGCAGCTGGGGTGCCACGTGGGCAGCCCCCCCGGAGTGGGCTGGGCCAGCCCCTGATCGCTCCTGGCTGCCCAGCACCCGGGGCCCACCATCACCACCACGGAAGGCCTGGGGCAATTGGGTCTTGCGGGGAAACAGGGCTGCAGTGCCCAGGCCAGCAGAGCCCGGCGGCCCAAGCCCCTCCTCGTCCTCGTAGTCCTCCTCTTCCTCCTCCTCGTCCCCCAGATCTTCCTCCAGTTCCTCCTCCTCTTCCTCCTCCTCCTCCTCTTCCCATTTTGGCTTCCTGGGGCAGGCAGAGGACAGAGGACAGAGGTCAGAGGAGAAGGTGCCAGCTCACCCCCACCCTGGGGCAAAGCCAGCTTCTCATTCCAGCCTGGGTCTCCCTCTCTCAGTGGGCTGCTGGGTGGGCCTGCAAGCAGGACCTGCTTAGGGTGTGGGCTACACTACTGGTTCTCAGTGAGCCCGGAGCAACTGGAACTGCCCCTTCAGCATAGCCCCAGCTATCCTCCCCCTCCCCGGTGTCCTGCCCCATGCTAACAGCTTCCCCGTCCTCCCCTCCCCCTTCTGCTGTATAGGCTGCCTTGCTGGGCCTTGAAAGTGCCGAGCCGGTTTCTGACTCAGGGCCCTTACTCCGGCTGTGTTCCAGGCTCCCTCTGGCTCTTCCTAGGGATGGTCACCTCCACAGGGAGACCTGTGGCCACCATTCTGGAAAGCTAACCTCCAGTCGCAGCCAGCCCCATCCCTGGCACCTGTTTCATTTTCTCAGCAGCCCCGATCACAACCTATGAACACCCTACTTCTTTGCTTGTTAAACAACTTCCCAGAAGGACTCCACTGGGGTCTTGCCAGCACCCAGCTTGGGGCCCGCATTGGACACCCGTGGGACGCAGACCTTGGTGAGCCAACCAACCTCAACTCTGCGTAGGTCCCACCCAGGCCATCAACTTGATCTGCCCGATGCTGCATTTGCTGTAGCCTCACCGGGCAATGGGGCCACTGGCTACACATAGCTAGCTCTACTCAAGTTAAGATGAAATAAAACTAGACCAGGCCTCAGCCACAATGGGTACGTTTCACATGCTCCATAGCTATGTATGAGACTGGTTATACCCACACTGGACAGTGCAGATAAAGAACGCGTCCACTGACATCCAGAAAGTTCTACAGTCTCTGGGTGGTTTTGTCCTGCCCTTACGACTATGTCCCCAGGACCTAGATGCCCGCTCAATGCATGGAGCATGCAGACCTCACTCACAGGTCATCATCAGAGGCCATGTCCTCGAAGTGCCTGTCACCTTCCGTGTGTTTTGGTGCCTCCCCGCCTTGGCCGGGTGAGCCCGGTGCCTCCTCCTGGGCTGTGTCCTCGTCCTCTGAGCCGCGGGGCCCATCCTCAGAGCCACTAGGACTGGGTGCAGGTCCGAGGCCGGCGGCAGCAGCCCGCATGGCGGCCAGCGCAGCCATCTGTGCCCGCTGCATTCTGGCGTTCTCGGGGTCTCTGTCCTCATTTGGGGCAGCCCTCGTGTGGCCTGGGGGACCAGCGGGGGGCTCAGGAGGTGGCGGCTGCCGGGCCTCCAGCTCCTGGCGTGCCCGCTGCTGCCGTTGTAGGAGCGTTTCCATCACTGCCTGCAGCTTCATGGCCCTGCGGGCCGGGCCGCCCCGGGCACCAGGGGTGGGTGGCGGGGGCGGCCCCTTTGGGGAGGGGGCCCGGCCGCACTGCAGTGTGAGGGCTGCGGGGGAGCCGGGGCAGTGCAGGGTGGCAGAGGGCGGGGACTAATGGGCTCAGGCTGAGGGCTGGCGGGGCATGCCAGCAGAGGACAGGCGGTGCCTCCTTTTCACGCTGGACACCAGGGGACAGCTGCTGGCGTCCAGCTCATTCACGTATTTGCAGAAACCTGGGGGCCGCAAGAGAGACGGTCAGACCACACTGGGTTCCTCGGCCCCATCTTCCCCACTGAGGTTGAACCATAAAGGCCTCTGGAAAAACCCCTCCCACTCACATCAGGGTGCAGACCTGGAGGCCTCCCTGGAGGCAGAGGAGCACGCACTCCCCATCTACCTCCACTCTGTCCGCTCTCCAGTGGGCTGAGAAATGGCGTCACCCTGCACTGGACTCTCGAGGACCTCCAGGTGGCCCCCACCCATCTGAGCCACAGAGAAATACCCAGTGGTCAACCACAACCTCCCAAGAAAGAGCATCAATTATTGCTTCATAAACACAGCAGGGGGACAGGACATTCCTGGCCTCTGACTGGCTACAGCCGGCTGCCAGGCACCAGAGGCCAAGTAGATTCTAAGTTCTGGTTCTGGCTTCTAGGTGCTGGTGCTGCTTGGCCCAGAGAGCTCCAGGCACCCTCCTGTCACTCAGGCTCTTAACAGAGACAATGGCTGGCCCAGACTGAGCGCTTGCTGTATATGGGCTCTGAGTTAACCTTTCTCCACTCACACTGTCATCCCTAAGCCTCAATCTCTCAGCCTCAGTTTCCCTCTCTGCAAAATGGTGCCCTAGCTGCGCCCACCTCACTGTGCTCAGGCAGACGTGAAGTAAATTTATGATGGTGAAGACAGGCACACAGCAGGCACCACATCCCATCCACGTCAGGCGGGAAAGCACCCACTGTATAGATGAGAGAAACTGAGGCTCGGAGATGTCTTGCTAACTTGGGTCTAAGTGACATCAGAGCCTCCCACACTGCCCCCATATTCTCTATGTGGGGGAATTCCCCTGCTCTTTGGGACCCCAAGAGGGGCCAACATCCCAGAATGCAACATGCTCTGCCCTCAGCCTGAGGTCCCTTTGAACCACCACCAACCCTAATTGCCAGGGCCTCCTGCTGGCCATGGGCAGGGATGTTGGAGAACCTGGAACAGCCAGGCTCCACCAAGACCAGAGGATGTGGGTCCCACCCCAGCCCCCAGCCCCAGCCCAGGCCACACCCCCACCCGCCCAGGCCTCCAATAAAACAGATGGGCAGAACCCGACAGGCCCAGTGGTAACACCCCAGGTGGTACATCACCGGGACAGTGTGGGTGGGGTGTCCAGGAGGCTGTCCCTAACCCAGCAAATGAACCTCCAAAAGCTCTTAAGCCACTCCTGGAGCAAACGTCATGCGCAGGAGGGACCAGTGGGGAGAGGTTCCTGGTAGCTGGCTGATGCTAGGTCTCCACACTGGCAGCCCTCCTTAACCCCTCTGGTGACCTGCTATGGAGGAGCCTGAACCCTCCCTAGGAGAGTTGTGTAGTGTAGATCACCCCAACCTCCCCAGTCATGGGAGGGGCCTTACAGAGCCACAGTAAGCCCAGCGGACTCCACCTTCTCCCCACCAAACCAGATGCCCTTTACCAGGACCCCCTGGGGCTTCCAGCAGGATGGGTAAAAGGGCAATGGGGGGCGGGACAAATGAGTGGCCCCTGTAAAAAGTGGGAAGGGATACACCCCCAAAGGACCTGGGTATCCAGCAAGGGCGGGGGTCCCTGGGCACAAAGACCCTCTCAGAGGCCACAATGCTGGCAAGAGACCAGCACAGCAAAGCAACATCAAGCTCTCCTTCTGCCCCCACACTGGCGGTCACCCCCCACCTCCACACCAGCCCCAAGAAGTGCTGAGGGGACATTTCTCACCCAGTGTCTAGTCTGGTCCACTGCCCCTCCCCCACCTTTGACAACTTCAAGACAAGCCCCCCCCATGCCCCACGGAAACGCTCCAGGCAACCCCCGCCTCTTTGGGGGGGCAGAAGGAAGAGGCCAAAGGAAGTCACTCCCCCCTACACCGCCCCCCCCAGGCCTGCTGGGTTTAATGACCCTTCCGGGTCGCCCTGTGGGGGAGGGGAGCAAGGCAGGCTTCCATGCTGGGGCTCGGGGGGACAGGTGGGAACCCCAGAGCTCCCCTGGGCCGGGCCTGAACCCCCCAAGCCTCCAATAATCCTAGACTGACGACGCCCACCCCCTCCTCCAGATCCCTCCCCCCAAGAGTCTTTTGTCCTCAGCCCCTACCCCTATTTTATGACAGCCCCGAGGGAGAAGTATTCCCAGGCAGGGACCTGGCGGGGATGGGGGTGCTGGGTGGTAGTTAGGACCTAGCTGGGGTCGGGGGGGGGGGCGCAAAGAGGGACGGGCCACGCCCTCTCTCACACACACCTCCCCCCTCCCCCCCCCCAATGCCTCGAGGAGAGAGAGATCACCCGCTCTGGCTCCCGAGGCCTTGCAAAACTCGGTTATTTAAAGAGTTGTGCAAGGCTGGGGCCCGCGGGTGGCGAAAGGGGCCCCTCACTCCAAGGAGGGGAGAGGAGGGGGAAGGTGGGGCAGCAGGCTGGGGAGGGGGCTAGGGGGAGTCAGGAGGGGGCGGCCCGGAGGAAGTGAGAAAAGAAAAACTGAAGAAGATATAAGACAACAGAAACCCCAGTCCGGGCTTCAAAGGCTTCTTGGAAAGCGGCCGATTTGCATGGGTGGGGGGGCAACCCCTCGGCCCGGGAGACTAAAAACGGAAGATTATTGACAAACGCTCCGCCCGGGGTCGGACACCAAACGTTGGAATTGACAAACGCGAGCTCCCCGCGCTTCCTGCGCCCGCTTTGTGTCTGTGGGGGGCACTGAACGTGGAGAGGGGGCTTTTCCCGGGAGTCCCCGCCAGAGAGTCGGGGGCCCGGGCCGAACCCACTCCCGGGTGCGGGGACCGCGGTGTCCCCTCCAGGGTCCCCTTTCTACCCAGGACCCGACACTTCATAAATAAACCGTCCAGGCAGGGGAGGCTCATCAGGGAACTGCCTTCCCCACCTGGTGCTCCTACTCCCCTCGCGGCTACCGAAGAAAACACCCGACCCGATTCGGGGAGAAAAAATGTACTAAGAACCCAGAGCTCAGTCCCCGCGTACAGAGACCATTTCCTCCCGCTGGGTGGGGTGGGGGGCGAATTCGCGACCCCCGATTGTCCCCGCGCGACCCTATGCAATATGGTAGGAGGTGAGGTATTCAAGGGGGCGCAGAGAAAACCACCCAACTCCGACCTACCAGAGTCTCCTTCCCAGCGCCAGACCCCCACCTACGTCCCTGCCCAACTTTGGGGACCCCCTCACCCTGGACCGGAACCCGCGATTTAAAAGGCCAGCCGCCCTCCTCCTGGAGCCTCACCGCGCGGGGCCCACTCGGGGGGCACAGGGCCCGCTCCAGGGGAGCATGCCCCGCGCCTGGCGTCCCGCCCTGCCCCAGCAGCGCCTGGCCTCCGGCCCGGGCCGCGAGCTGCGCACTGCTGGCTCCCGGCCGCCGCCGGGTTTGTGCCGCGCGTCGACTCACCCAGCCGCCGGCCCAATCCGCGTCTACACCCCCACCCAACCGGATTGGTAAAAGTCTGCCCGCGCGCGGCCTCCCCCGCCCCTCCCCTACCCCCCAACCGGAGAGCTCACCGCCCCGCAGACAAATCACCGGGTGACAAATCGCTCTCAGATGCAAATACCTCGCCGGTGATTCAGCACCGCGGCCCAGGACGCGGGGAGGGGTCTCGCGAGGCCCCCTCCCCCTTCCCGGACGCCCCTCTCTCCCAGCGCTCGGTCCCAAGAAGCAGGACCTGCCCAGGGGTGTTCGGGGG